TATTTAATTTGACCTTGTCACAGGATCCATGTGAATAGGGCTGAAGCTTCTTGATGGGCTGAAGTGGACTTTGAGATGATACTGCAAGTGAATTGTACGAAGTTGAATATTCCCACGCATGAATGGGATGGAAGAAGGAACGGGTTTCTCTTGGCTCAAAGTGAAAAATTCCTACAGCTGCCCTTGCACTAGTTTGTAATTATTTCCCCTTATTAAGAAGGGACTAATTGATTGAAAGACTGCACAAAATCAAGGGAAATAGATAGCAAATCCTCTGCTGACAATGAGGAGAAACAATCCTGTCCATCCCTCTGAAACAATTCAGACTAGGTTTATCCCCACGATGTTGTGTACTTTATTTCTTTGAAAGCAAGGAAATCAAATGTCAATTGTTCATTGTATGTTTTTGTACATGGCAAAATATTTGGACTTTATCTCCCGCCCCCCCAGTGATTCAATTAACTTCACTGATTCCTCCTGTCCAGCTGTTACTGAACTCCTGCACCATAAGTTTTCTCTGGATATCTTCCTGGACACAACAAAGCTTCTTCTGGAGCATGAGAGGTACAGAGATTTCAGATGGGTCCTCATTCAAACCAGTGGTAGATTCTTGTTAACAATAGCAAAGGAGGACAAAGAATGTCTATTCTGATGGGACTTCTTATGCCCTTCAGTGAGCTCCACTGTCGTGCCCAGTGGCTGTAATCTTCCTGATGGGTAGAGGAGACACTGAGCAAAGAATGGAGTTGTGGCAAGTGCATAAATGATATGTTAGGGGGCAGAAATCACTCTATAAGTGAACAGGTACTAGAGTATAGGCTAGGTTGGGGTAATAACAAGTAGAAGACAGTGATTATTTGACCCTAAACACCCAGCTGCTCGGAAATATTTGAAGAGTAAAATTTGGGGACATAGACTGGCTAGTTGGTCAGAGGTCTGTGATTCATTTATGCATAGTGATAACCTGAAAGATCTGCTTATCTGAAAGAAGTGTCTGAAATTTGGTTACGTTCCTGCTGGTAATGTTAAGAAAACTACTTTCGTGAAGATTTGAGTATCATGAAGCGTTTGGTATCATATCAACAGGTCCTGATGTTCTTTCTTTGTAGGTGAGAATCTGGATTCTTTGTCACTGAGAAATTAAGTTGTGCTCAGTTCACATTGTGTTTGAAGTCAACATGTACATCCAGCTTCTTAGTTTGTGATCTTTGTATATACAGAGAGGCCATTGGTTTCAACTTTCTTAAGTCAGTCACTCAGCTGTTTGAAGGATCCCCAGATGTTGGCAAAGCCATTCTTCTTCACATCGAACTCTTATTACAGAGAATGAAAGAACCACTTGCCAAGAAAATGATTGAAGACATCACTGCAAGTTGGTGCTATGCTTCTCTACATGCTGCCTGGCAGTCATTGGGGGGGGGGGGGGGGGAGCAGGGGCTCATTTCAACTGAGAAAGGTGTGTATGACCTTTCAGTCCACATGCATCTGTGATCTTAACCCTGATCATGATTGCAGTAGTTTAACAGTACAGTGGCCTTAGGATGGTGTTACTCTGCTTAGGACTGCATTGTCAGTCTTGTTAACTAAGACTGTAAACTGAAGCATACTTATTTGGAAGTAAATCTTCATGAATTTAGTGGGATACACATTGCAGATCAAATAATAAGTACATTTGTAGAGCCAAGCTTCAGAAACGCACAGGTAGAATGTTTGCCTTTGACTACATAGCTTGAGGGTTTGTGGCAGTACGTGCTTAGAGCCATTGGCACTAATGGAAATTCTGCTTGTGGGCTTGTATATTTGTCCCAGACTAGTAATTTCATATTTAAAGATGGATAAAATGCTGAACTTTATGTCTTCAGGTCACAATACAAGAAAACAGCTGACCCCTGAAATACTGAACCATTTGCACCATGTTCTATGGGACAGAGCTGCCAAGAACTATGAGGTTTGGGATCCTGCAGGGGTGTTGCTCTTGGTATAAGTTTAAACCCTCCCCAATTTTCTACCCATTGAAGGTACATAGATAGGTTTAGTAAAAAAAATGACATGCAATCAAGTATAAAACAGCCCAACCACTTCATTTTCTCACCTTTCATGATTCTCAAAATCCACATATCAGTATTTTTCAAAGGCTGTCTGTAATTTTCTATACAGGAGTATAACACATTCAGAAAGGATTGCCATGCTACAACACAGAAATGTAAACACGCTCTTTCAGGGTGTCAAGGAAACCAAGTTGTGACCTGGCAACCCTCTTTTCTGACTAATGATGTCATATGCAATACATCCTCCAATCTTCCTTCTGACAAACAGTGCTCTAGTCTATGAAAGCTTATGCTACAATAAAAACACAGTCATAGTCTTTAAGGTGCCACAAAACTCTTGTTTTTCTGCAATAGACTATCATGTTTACTTCTCTGGTATTTCTACCAATCATTGTTTACTAATTTCCATTTTTATGAAGATTATTTCAAAGCACCTCGTATTTGCAAATCAGTTTCAGCCACTCTGGCTCATAATTGTCAGAACCCACAGCTAACAACGAAGTACACGCATTCAGGAACGGTTACACTTTTATTGCAAAGCTATAGATGCAGTAACATAGGCACTGTTAAGAATGGCGGCAACCCATGGAGCATAATAGGATATAGGGCATTCGTATGCCCCCCCCCCCCCAATGGCATGGGCCAATTAGATACCCTCCCGCGCGCGGGACAAGCTAGGAAATCGTTAGGTGGCGAAAGCTGGGAAGCAGTAGTCTCTCACGGTACATAGGAGACTTCCAGACAATACAACCTCCTCCTGCCCATCTGTAGAGATAAGCGTTTCAGCCAAAGCAGAACAGCAGAGGTAGGAATGCAATGCAATAGCAATTAGTAAGACACAGAATGAACTCCTCAACCCCCATGGCAGCATAGCTGACAATAATGCACTTTCAGGGTTAGTGTCATTTCTGAACACTTAGCCTGCTTCTACAATATGATTTCCTCTTATATCTTCACTTACATTTAAAAACCCAGAGCAAACATTTGGGTTAATACAGATGAGAAGCTACTGTGGGATCCCTCATTTGGGCTGGAAATGAAGCTGCTTCTTTCCCTTTTCCTAATTGCATACTTGTTCATAACACCTGAAGAGCCTTAATTATTCAAAATGCAATAAGGTAAGATACACTGTTTATTTTGTAGATGAAAAGGTACTCTGAGGCCCTGTCATGGTACAAGTACTCCCTCAGCTTCTATTCCACTGGGCAGATAGATCAGAATCTGGCAAAGCTGCAAAGGAATATGGCTGCTTGCTATCTTCATCTGGAGCAGTTTGAAAAGGTATTTATCTTAAATAGAATTATTCTATTCAGCTTCAAGCATGTCTGTTCTTTCCTCTTTGACATTTGTGAGGATACTTCCTGAATTTGCTTCTCTTTAACATCATCTAGGTTGTTGTTGTTGTTGTTTTTTGGGGGGGAGTTTTCTTGTGAAATTTTCTGTTTATTAATTTAATGTTAAAGTTGTATTACATCAGAAGCAGGAGGGCTGCAGCTCCTACTGAGTGATGTTCACCTTTCAGAGTGGGAGGGGATCCATCAGTGAATACCAAATCTTCTCCAATTGTGTGTGGATGGTAAGCTGTAATATTACTTAATCAAAAACAGGATTTGTGCCGGAATATATTCTCGTAATAGCTGGTAGCAGTAGAAAAGAGCAACAGTACCACCTTAAAGACTAACAAAATTTGTGGCAGGGTATGAGCTTTTGTGAGTCAGTGCTCACTTCTTCAGATCAACCTTGTCACCTGCTTTAGCCATTGCAGAGCACAGAGGATTCTGCTGCAGTACCTCAAGGAACCTCATATCCAAGCAAATGTTGCAGCCAGTTCTGCTTTGCTTGGTTAAGAAAATGTTGGCATAGTTTTGTGACATGATTGCCATTCAAAACATCCTGTTATTAGAGACAAAGCAGCTTACAAGGCTGGAATGATGCTGTATCAGTGGTTTGTGGGTAATAATGTAATGATGCAAATCTATCAGTGCATTTTGCTCTCTCTGTGTAATTGCAGTTAGCTGATGAATTATTCTGCTACTTTTCTCATTCTGTAGGCTCATGAGTCAGTGAAGGAGGCAGAGAGGTGTGACCCAAATAGCATCTTTACTCAGTTCTATGTGTATAAAATAGCAGTCTTAGAGAAGAAGTCACAGAAAGGTAAAGAGCCACCATCTTTTTTAAAAACTGATTTGGTATCTCTTAACTAGTTGCCTGAGATTCAGAGGGTAAAAGCACATCAGCACACTGGTTAATCTTCATGGCTTCTGTGTAGTCCCACATAGGATTCTGCAAGTGCAAGCCAGCCATAGATTCTGAAGCTTTCCGGAAGATTCAAAGTATGAGTAGCAGAGCACTCACTCTCCCTTCTGTCTCACGCTGGAGTTTTCCTGGCCAAATGGGCACATAACAGAAATGGGGAGATCACTCCTCCCTCAGTTCTCTCTTTGCCACTCTGGATATATTCTGAAGCTTTCTTTGCCTCAGAATATTGTCTTTGAACAACTCACTGATAAAGCCAAAAATATGTCTCTTTTTAAAAAAATATTTAAAATGCAGGGCAAAAATGGCCCAGAATATCAAATACAACTTGTGTCTGCTCTGTCTGGGGGAAGGACACAGCACCACACCTTGCCACTTCTTTGCCCCTAAGGACCAGCATGAAAGGGCTGGCAGACGTAAGGCTGTGCTGTGGCAGAAGGCCTGGGGGGGGGGGGCTTGATATTTGCCCTGATAAGTGCCCAGCTCACCTGAAGAAAAGGGCCTGACCACCTTCAGTTGTTTCTGTGCCCTCTGCCCCAGCATTGGATCTAATTGCTAAAGTGGCATTGACTCTGAGGCCACCACCTAAAAAAAGCAAAGAGAAAGATTCAATACATTGCTCCAGTTTCCTCTGTGGAGCCATCTGTCACCTTGGCGTTGAAAATCTCCATCTCCTTGATGTAAAGACTCACCATCTCTTCAGTGCTGAGCATTGCTGTCAAGAACTGGAGTTAAGCAAGTTCCCCACTCACAAACACCATCTCAGTTACCGAGACCACCTGAGTCACCTCAGTCCTCTGACAATGAAGTCTTTGAAGTGCTCCCGCCAGCTGCTTTGTTGGTGCAGCACTGCAGTCCCAGAATATACCTGGACATCCATTAGCCCACGGAAGCATGCCTATCATGTTTTTCCCATGGTGCCCAACCCAGTGTCCTTGGTACCCATATCCTCCTATGTATCTACCCCATTGGGGCCAATGGGACCAATAGTCTGCTTATCTGCCTTATCTGTATGTAATGATGCCTCAAACTGTCAGCTCTGAGAAGCATCCTGCTCCATTGATGTCTGCAAGAGTGTTTAGACGTGAGCTGCCTAGTGAATATCCATCATTGGACTTGGAGGAAGGCTTCGAACATGGATCCAAAATGGAATAAAAGTGCATCGATGTCATTGCCAGAGGATGCCATTGGTGTTTCATTGCCTGTATTGCCTATGAAGGACTATATCAAAAGGGGCTATATGGAAAGTCTCTACACTGAATACAAATAGAAGCTTTTATTCCAGTTACTTATTAATAAATTTAAAAGGTGGTGTTAAAGACTGATCTTAGAGCTTATAGGTCTTAATAAACATCTGAAATTCTCCAAATTTAGAATGATGTCAGTATCTGAAATATTACCTTTGTTGAATAACGGGATGTGGTTTGCTATCCTAGACCACAAGGATGCCTATTTTTACATCTCTATTCATGAATCCTGCAGAAAATATTTACGAATTCAGTGTGGGAACACATCTTATGAATACATAATGTTGTACTTCAGCCTAGCTACAGCACCAAGGGTCTTCACTAAGCATGTCTCAGCATTTGTGATTTACCTGAGGCTCAAGGGATGTGAAATTGACCCATACTTGGATAATTGGCTTTTTGCAGATAACTCTTGAGTTGCTGGTCACCCATGTCCAACTAGCCCCTGATATGCTAGGTTCCTTAGGGTTTGTTATTAATTGGGAGAAGTCTTATTTACAGCCAACTCAGTCCATAGAGTTTATTGGGGCTCTCCTAGATTCCACAGAGGATTGGCTTATTTGCCTCTGCAAAGGGCTTGTGCTCAGTGTTCCCTCTAAGCTGAGTTAGTGTGAGCTAGCTCACAGTTTTTTAGCCTCCAGCTCACACATTTCTGTCTCGGCTCAGGAAGGTGGGCTCCAGAGCAAACTAATTTATGCAGGAGCCAAATCACTTGCTCACAACTTTAATGCCAGTAGCTCACAAAGTAGAATTTTTGCTCACAAGACTCCACAGCTTAGAGGGAACATTGCTTGTGCTACCCACCCAGTCACTCGAGGCCCCCTTTTCTACACAAAGGTTTCAAGAAACTCTCTGTATTCAAAACTTACTGGGATTGATAGTCTGAACAACAGCAGTGGTTCTCATGTGAGACTGCACATGAGGCCATTGCAGAATTAGTTTATTCACAAGTTTAAGATCAAATCTGACCCTTGGTGGCTTTGCTGATGTATTCCTAGATCTTGAAGTTGGATACACATCCACATGAGATAGAAGCTTTTTCTGAGAGGTGTATTGTGATCACTTCATTCTCAAGGGTCTGTGGTCTGACAGGTAACCCACTAGAGACCAGAGTGATTAGATACTCTTGCCTCTTTGGCAGCTCTCCTTGTCAGTCAGTCAGTCATTTATTACGGCAACAAGCCATAGAACACACATGCTTAAATATAACATTCATATAACTGAATTTAGGACAGTAAAACAAAAGTCTATAAAAATACAGTTGAGCGTAATAAGTAAAAGAAGAACATAAAACAGAGACTATTAGGCAACTATTATTATACATTTGATTGTGTATTTCGGATGCAGTAGCATGCTACCCAAAATGTTGCCACAGTTTCGGTAATTGTCCGGTTCCCATCAATTAACAATCGGTTACATTGCTCAGCACCTGATTGTCCCACCATATCTGTTATAAGAGGAGTAATATATTTGTCACGGATCTTGTTATACCAGTTACATCTGAGCATCATGTGCTCAATAGTTTCTGTCTCTCCTGAGCCGCATTTACAAAGTCTATATTCAGTGGGGATCCTTTTGAATCTGCCCTCAAGCATCGCAAAGGGGAAAGCCTCACATCTGGCTAATGTGAAAGTTTTCCTAAACTTATGAGTATCAAGCTGTGATAAATAGGACATGGGTCGCAAGTGATATTTGACAGAATCTGGGGCTCTAAAATTAGGACATCTACTGAGATCTGTCTGTCTCTCCATGTCCATCATTCTCTGTTTTAGGGCTGATTTTGCTACATCCCAATGCATACTCAAAATCGCTTGGGGGGAAAAACCAAGCTCATATAATTTATTATGAACTGCTCTCAGCCATTTAGATTGAAAGTTGTCTGAGAGTAACAAGTGGGTTAGTCCGTGAGGATGGAAATTTAGTTTAAGCCAATACTGGAGTGAAGCTAAAGTAATTTTGGCTTCCACTGATATAGCACCTGTCTCTAGACGGATCAATGTATTCGATACACACCTTGGGACCTGAAGAACTGCTCTGAGAAATTTGGACTGAACTCGCTCTAAGGGGGCAAAACTAGAGGAAGGAGGCCCGATAAAAGTGCCATAGAGCATCTGTCCAACTGCCTTTGCTTGAAAGAGTTTTTGGGCAGCTGGCACATAATAAGCCCCTTTGGTGCGATAGAATTTAAGAATAGCATTGGCTGTTCTTTCACCTTGGGAGGAACATAAGAGAACATAAGAACATAAGAACATAAGAGACGCCAATGTTGGATCAGGCCAAAGGCCCATCCAGTCCAACACTCTGTGTCACACAGTGGCCAGAAATACCAGTGCCATCAGGAGGTCCAGCAGTGGGGCCAGGACATTAGAAGCCCTCCCACTGTTGACCCCCCCAAGCACCAAGAAGACAGAGCATCACTTGCCCCAGAGCCCCTAGCTATACCTTGTGGCTAATAGCCACTGATGGACCTCTGCTCCATATGCTTATCTAATTCCCTTTTGAAGCCATCCATGCTTGTAGCACCCACCACTTCCTGTGGCAGTGAATTCCAAGTGTTAATCACTCTTTGGGTGAAGAAGGACGTCCTGGTTATGTGAACAAAAAAACTCAGTGCAAACAGTACTGATATCACACTCCCTCATACACCAGCTAGAGCTCACTGTAATCTCAACAAATTCTTATATAATTGAGAATTATTATTATTATTTGAATATATGGCTCCAAAAATTCTTTGAATGAAAATTTACATAAAGTATCTTCAGCTATCCGAGTCAGACATGGCAATGCAAAAATGATCGTGCCCAATGTTTTTTGCTAATGCACAGATCCTATGATTTATATTTCCAAAGCAATTTTCAGAGCAAAAAGAAAAGCAACCAACTGTTAAATCCTACCTATTTTTAAAGTGTCCTTCTACCTTTCAGAGCCCAATTGTTGTTCTCTGTTGAAGGGCTTTGCTGGCTGTGATTATGGAAATAAATCTGTAGTACATTTTAGCCCAGTGGCCCATTGCAGCCTGCTTCAGGTTCTTAGCTCTGAAGAATAACGACAGTCATTTTATGAGAATGAGAGATTATAAATCATTCGCTGTGTCAGTTCAATGTTTTCCCGCAGCAGTCTTCTCTCAGAGAATTTCCAAGACATCTGGTCCAGTAGGATCCATAAGTTTTGTACTGCCTTCTCTGTAAGTTCTTTTCGGCTTTTGCTTGGGGGCTCCGAATGTTTATAAAGAAAAATAAACATGCTGGAAATCTGCTTGCAGCTCTTTCAGAACCTCATCTAGTTGAACTCTATATTTGGAAAATTAACTGCAGCTCTTCACTTCAGGCTTCCACAGTGGCCTGCCATGCTAAACAAGTTTCTCTTGCCAGGTTTGGAGTTACTTTCAGGATAATTATGGCACACCGGGGCTTCTCTGAAGTCAGATGTGACAATTTAACTGACACTTCATCTTACACCTACCTAGTTTGATCAGTGTTAATCAGAGGCTATTTTTATCTTTATTCAAATCAGACTTAGTTCAACTTGCCTTAATTCAAAGAAGAAGAGGGCCAAACATGCTGGAAACACATTAGATAAGAAAAGTCCAACCCAAGCTCCTACATGGCTACAATAGCTAATCTCAGACTGTTTTACCCTTCTTTCTTCTCA